GAGGGAGAAGCAGGCTTCCCGCGGAGCAGGGAGCCCAATGCGGGGCTCGATCCTAGGACCCTGGGATCATGACCTGAGCCGAAGGCAGACGCTTAACGACTGAGCCACCCAGGCACCCCGAAGGTTGAGTATTTTAATATAGATTTTAAAAATTCATTGTGCCTGGTAGAATGGGTCCCACTGAACAAATACTGAGGATTAGCATTTGCCACCCCACCTACAGACAGGGAGGAAGGGGCCAGAAATACCAGTTCCTCCGACGGAGCCCCTGGCGGAGCACTGTGGGACTCCAAGTCATCCAGCCCTTCTGGATCCTTGCGGCGCATCTCTACGAGGGTCCCACAGGTAGATCGGCGCGTCTGGGTTTTCTGTCCCCAAGCCTCCCCGCCGCTGCACTGTGCGGCCCTGGCAGTGGGGAGCCGCCTGGGGCAGTACGCCTGGTCCCGCCCTTGGGCCTCATTATCTACGTTTCCGCTTCAGGCCCGCCGAGAACTTGGCAGGGCCTCCCCGCGGTGTTCGGGAACACTTTGTGCCGAGCGCTCGCCGGCCCAGCCCTCCTCCCTGCCGCCGGCGCTCGCCCAGTCCGCGGGGTTTGGGTCGCTGGGGCCCCCTGGTTCCCGTACCCCGCGCGCAGCCACGAGCCCCCACGCGCTCCCACGCACTTGTCCTCTGTACCCCCGAGCCCGGGTCGCGCAGTCCGCTCCTCGCCCACGGGCTGGGCCTGGGTCACACCGCGCGTAATCGAGAGGTTCCGAAAGATGCGGTGGCCCATTTTAAAACAAAGCCCAATTATTAGCGCTCGGTGCTATTTATGCCAGGTCAGTGTCAGATCCTCTGGGCGCTGCGGACAACCAGTACCCCAAAGAAGCGTAGTCGGAGCAAGAAGAAAGAAACCGGCTCTGGAGCCATCTGACCCGCTTTGAAGCCCCCGTCCCCGAACCCTTCTCGTTCCCGTCCTGGATGCGTTCGCTTGGGCAAAGCGCGGGGCCTCAGTTTCCTCCTCCGTGAAATGGGGATAACTGTGCGTGCTTGGTAATTCTACACGAGGAGCGCCGCAGGTCGCAGGGACATCAGTGCTGGGGTCCCACACCTCCAGGACCCCACCTTCCCGCGGCCCCTGCCTCGGCCCCGCCCCGGGGGCTCCTGGGCTCAACTCGCGGCGCTGGCTCCAAAGTGCGTCACGGGCATGGGCCGCGCTCCTCCCGCAGCCAGGGCGAGGCTGGCACCGGGCCAGCGCGGGCCGGGCCAGGGGTGCCGGGCAGTCTCCGGGGCGGGGACCCAGGCGTGCAAGGCGCTCAAGTTGCGCGGTCCTTGGTGCGCTGCTGGGGGCGCCCTCCGCGGCGGGCAGCGCGCCAGGGACCGGCCTCCGCAGCCGCCGGGCGCGCGAAGGCTACACTTTCCCTTCGACCCCCCTCGTTTCCTCCCGCGGGGCGGCAGCGGAGATTTCCTCTCGGGGAAACTACGCGAATCCTTCCCGGGGCTCCTCGCCCCGCCCCACTTCTCCGCCCCCTCCCCTTTGCTGGGGAGTTGGCGCTGACCTGCGCTGGGAAGAGGCTCTGGCAGCCTGAGCCGGGAGGTGGAGG